AATTGCTCCACCCTAAAGGACCAATAACACAACCCTTAAAGACAGACAGCTCCGGCCTAAGGGATCAATAGCTCAACCCTAAAAGACTGACAGCTCCGCCCTAAGGGATCAATAGACCCGCCTTAAAAGACTGACAGCTCCGCCCTAAAGGACCAATAGCCCCGCCCTAAAAGACTGACAGCTCTGGCCTAAGGGATCAATAGCTCCACCCTAAAAGACTGATAGCTCCGCCCTAAAGGATTAATAGCCCCATCCTAAAAGACTGATAGCTCCGCCCTAAAGGACTAATAACCCCGCCCTAAAATATCAATAGCCCCACCCTAAAAGACTGACAGCTCCGGCTTAAGGAATCAATAGCTCCACCCTGAAGAACTGATAGCTCCAACCCAAAAGACAGATAGCTCCGCCCTATAGGACCAATAGCCCTGCCCTAAAAGACTGATAGCTCCGCCCTAAAGGACCAATAGCCCTGCCCTAAAAGACTGATAGCTCCGCCCTAAAGGACTGATAGCTCCACCCTAAAAGACTGATAGCTCCACCCTAAAGGAATGATAGCTCCACCCAAAAAGACTGATAGCTTCACCCTAAAGGACCAATAGCCCCGCCCTAAAAGACAGATAGCTGCGGCCTGAAAGACTGATAGCTCCACCCTAACGGACCAATAGCTCCACCCTAAAAGTCTGATAGCTCTGTCCTATAGGACAAAAAGCCCCACCCTAAAACACAGATAGCTCCGCGCTAAAGGACTAATAGCCCCCCTCTAAAAGACCGATAGCCCCGCCCTAAAGGACTGATAGCTCCAAACTAAAATACCCGATATCTCTGGCCTAAAGGACTAATAGCTCCCCCCTAAATTATTGGTAGCTCCACCCTAAAGAACCAATAGCCCCGCCCTAAATGACCGATAGCTCCGCCCTAAAGGACCAATAGCTCCACCCTAAAAGACTGATAGCTCCCCCCTAAATTACTGGTAGCTCCACCCTAAAGAACCAATAACCCCGCCCTAAATGACAGATAGCTCCGGCCTAAAGGACTGTTAGCTCCGCCCCAAAGTGCCTATAGCCTGATCCTAAACAACTAATAGCTCCACCCTAAAGGACTATATATATATACAATATGCAAAATATATTCATATAAACATGATTTCTGAAAATGACTTTAAAATATGTGTGCACTCTTTAATACACAACGTACAGTTTTTTTTATTATTAAAAAAAAAACTGAGTATTCTTAATTTTTGTTGCAGCATGGGGCATTTTTACAGCACAGTTCAGTCAAAAGTAAAAAAAATATAATAAGTTAGTGCGCCCTTATATTATAACTACACAATATATCTCTGATTTCCTTCAAGAATTGTCTGTTGCTCCTGCTGTTTGTCCTCTGCCAGGCGCTGAAGTCGTGTCTGAGCTGCCCGGGCTCTTTCTGCGAGGCTCACCTGCGGCACCACAAGAAGCTGAAGAGCATGAGCTCACACAAGCTGCTGGAGCCCATACACAACCTGGAGGACAAGATGTGCAAAACACACAAGCGGCTGCTGGACGCCTACTGCCGCAACGAGCACGCGTGTGTGTGTAAGGAGTGCGCAGAGTCATCACACAAAGGCCACGACGTCGTCTCCACCGAGCGAGAGTGGAAGAAGAAAACGGTGAGTTTTAGTCATATGGGCACACTGACTTTACTTTAAAAGTGAATAAACCCAATGCTTATGAGTTTGGGACAAACTGGAAAAATGTAGTGTGGAACTTTACTCACCGGCCACTTTATTAGGTACACCTTACTAGTACCGAGTTTTGCCTTTAGAACTTACAACACCATTACACCACCACCACCAGCCTGAACCGCTGATACAAGGCAGGATGATTCATGCTTTCATGTTGTCTGAGCCGAGCATCTGAATGTGTCAGCAGAAATGGAGACTCATCAGAGCAGCAACGTTTCTCCAATCTTCTATTGTCCAGTTTTGGTGAGTCTGTGTGAATTGTAGCCTCAGTTTCCTGTTCTTAGCTGACAGGAGCGGCACCCGGTGTGCTCTTCTGCTGCTGTAGCCCATCCGCCTCAAGGTTGGCCGTGTTGTGTGTTCAGAGATGCTCTTCTGCAGAGCTCGGTTGTAACGAGTGCTTATTTGAGTTACTGTTGCTGGAACCAGTCTGGCCATTCTCCTCTGACCATCAACAAGGCATTTGCGCCCACAGAACTGCCGCTCACTGGATATTTCCTCTTTGTCGGAGCATTCTCTGTAAACCTTTGTGATGGTTGTGCGTGAAAATCCCAGTAGATCAGCAGTTTCTGAAATACTCAGAGCAGCCCGTCTGGCTGAACAATCATGCCACGTTCAAAGTCTCTTAAATCCCCTTTCTTCCCCATTCAGATGCCCGCTTTGCACTCCGCAGATCGTCTTGACCATGAATGCCTAAATGCATTGAGATACTACCATGTGATTGGCTGATTAGAAAGTTGCGTTAACGAGCAGTTGGAGAGGTGTACCTAATAAAGTGGCCGGTGTGTGTAGGTTCCACCAAGCGTCTGCATGAGTAATAGAGAAACTGTTTTGGAGAAATATGTCAAAGCAATGTTTGTATTTACCACACCGTTACCATAATAGACTCACAAATTCCACAACAGTGGATTAAACTCTTTCCAAGCAGGTTTGTGACCCAAAATGGCAGCAATATTTCATAGATTTAACTAACAACTGGCACTGGGAATCACACTGACCCTATGGAAGTTCTTGAAATGTGACTCCATGTCGTCTCCTGTTCACAGAGTCAGCTGGGAAAGAAAAGGTCAGAATTAAAGCATCTGATCAAGGAGAGAGAGAAGAAACTGGACGAGATCAAGCAGTCCATCCGAGTCATCAAGGTGAGGCCGTTAATAACCGCTGATTTACTGAACAACACAGCGGCACATCATGAGTTTCTATGATCATCTCTTTTAGAAAGGGACGAGCACACATATGATCACGCACACACATAAACACAAACACACACAGAACAAACACACGCACGAATATCCACAGATTCACACACACACACCACAATCAGACATATACACACATACCAACATGCCCACATATGCACAAACAAACACACATCACAGTCAGATGTACACACACACATGCGCAAACAAACACACACATCTACTCCTTAATTTGGTTGTTAGAAAGTTTTACAAGAACCATAACGCCCCATTCACACGGGGCTTCAGCGTTCAACGCTCGACAGAGGGCGTGTCTGAAGTTGGGGCTGCTGCGATCATCATAGCAGCGTCAGCCAATGAAATTAGTCGGCAATAGGCCACTGTCTGAGCTGGTGTATTTGCATACAGTGATCTGATTGGCTGATGCTTCCATCAGTGCTTGAAAAGTTGAGCAAGTCCCAACTTCTGCAGCGAGCAACGCCTCTGAAGCGACGCCGACGGATCCACAATGCAGTTCGGCAGCGCCTGACGTCACCCATTCAAAGTGAATGGGAAGCGCTGAAGCTGACGCCCCGTGTGAATAAGAGTCGCTGTACACACACAGGCCTCAATATCACAACATAATATTTGTTTAATCTAACGAAACCAGCAGGAGCTCAGCAAATATTAGCTCATGTGGACCAGGAAACTTCCCATCAGACCGAGTTAAAGGGAAACCCAGAGGGAGTTTGTTTTTGTCACTGGTAATGTGGATAAATTTAGCAGAAGATGCAGGAAATGTATCTCAAAGTGAAGATAAAGGTTCTCTTAAAGGGCATTAATATTGACAATTAACCACTGAAAGAGGATATATATATATATATATATATTTGTTTTATGTATTCTTTTATTTTTATTTATTTGTTTAATATATATTTTATAATATTTTTATTATTTTTTTTATTATGTATTCTTTTAATTTTATTCGTTTAATTATATATATATTAGATTTTATTTGTTTTATATATTTTTATTTATTTTATATTTATTATTAGATATTATTTATTATATACCTAATATAATGTTTATTTATTAATTTTAAATGTATTTTTATTCTTATTTATTTATTAATTGAATATATATTTAGTATAATTTGTATTTATTTGTTATAATAGGTGTTTTATTTTATTTATTTTATATTTCTTTATTTATTATATATTTAATATTATATATATATATATATTTGTTTTATTTATTTATTTATTTTTATTTTATTATTTATTCATTATATATTTAATATTTTATTAATTTGTTTTATTATGTATTGTTTTATTCTTATTTATTTAATAGAATTTTTGTATAATTATGTGTTTGTTATATTAGGTGTTTTATTTTCTTTATTATTTATTTATTTATTATATATTTTATATTATGTTTATTTATTTGTTTCATTATTTATTTATTTATTTATTTTAACTCATACTTAGCATTGTATGGTACCATTTGTACCTCCACATACCACTGGTAATGTGGATAAATATAGCAGAAGATGCAGGAAATGTATCTCAAAGTGAAGATAAAGGTTCTCTTAAAGGGCATTAATATTGACTATAAACCACTGAAAGAGGATGGTTTCAGCCTGTGTTATGTTAGCCTTCCTGTGCGATCAGATTTAGTCAGTGATGTATAGAGAAGGTTAAAGTGTGAGCACAGGATCACCTTGAGTCACATTTAAAAACATAAAGAGGCAACCCTGAGTCATTAGATGTGCTTACATACAGATGTGATGTAGACCTGTAATATGGCATTAGGCATTAGTGAATGAAGCAGCCTAAAATATGATTCAGGAGACAAAAATATTTATAGTGGTCGTCTGTAAGTTCATATTTTCTATACAAAATGTTCCTAAATACAAATACAAACATCATTTTTTTTAGATGTACCCTGATACAAGTTGTGTTATACTCACGTTTCAGATGACACATCCACTAGAGGGCGCTTTTGCATTTTTGCAAATATGCTTAACTTAGGGGACGTTGCATGGTACGTTAATTACAAAAAAATGCAGAAAATAGATATTTAATGCAGATGTTTATTAATTTTAGCAAAAAAAAGATGCAAATGAGGCCTTATTATTGAATTATAATTGAAGCTGGTTATATGAGTTAGTTAAAAATAGCTGTAATGCAAGTCTGTAAGTTCATATTTTCTATACAAAATATCCCTAAGTACAAATACAAACACTATTGTTAGATATACCCTGATTTAATTTGTGCAATTATCATGTTTCAGGTGAAAAATTCACTAGAGGGCGCTGTTTACATTTTGTAAACATGCAATGCTTTATTAGGGGACGATGCATTGAACGTAAATTACAAAAAAATACAGAAAATTTATATTTAATGCAAATGTTTATTAATTTTAGCATAAAAAATAAAAAATAGGCTTAATTATTGAATTATAATTAAAGCTGAATCTATGATACAGTTAAAATAGCTTTAATCAAAGTCTTTTTTTTATACAAAATGTCCTTTAAAACATTAAAAACAAAACATTATTGTTAGATATACCCTGTTATAAGTTGTGTTATTATTACGTTTCAGACGGCAAATCCTCTAGAGGGCGCTGTTTGCATTTTTCCAAACCTGACGTGCATTACTTGAAGAACGCTTTGTCGTACATGTCACATGCACAACCAGGAGAAGGCGGAGCTTATCATATTAATAAGCTAGCAAACCTGCTAAATCATTTACTCAACCCAACCAATAGTGTTTTCAGAAGCAGACATGAGAGAAAAGTGCACTGCGAGCATGTTTTGATTTTAAATTTGTTCCTGTAAATATCATTAGTGTGAACAGGAAGAAGTGTTGTTGTCATCATAAAGCCCCACAGCAATGATTTTACCTAGAAACTGCAGTCCAATGAATGTGTTGCACAGAAATGTAGAGCCAAGCACGTATTTCCATCAACAACGTTCACAGGTTCAACCGGTCTGACCTGTCCGAACACTGTTTACATAGGGTTTGATGAGCTGCATGTGTTTATATCATGATCTCTTTCTGGTTTCTGTTCAGGGGTGTTTCCGTGACAGAAAACCCCCTCAGTGAATCATCCTGTCTGCATAGATGATTATTGTCATGCTAGTCATGCTGTATTTGATCTACTGCATCAGAAAATTAGAGACGTGTTGTGCTAGGAAGGTCAAAGCACTGATGTTAATCATTCAAACTATAAGCGACTAGAAAAATACATGAAAAATAAAAGTAAACGCAATAAAAACAGTAAATGCATGCAGAAAATGACACAAAACATCAGCTACTGTTACATTATAAGCTCTGAATGTTTAATTTAGGACGCAGAGACAGTTTAAAGTAGGCAGACTGACAATTAAAAGTGTATGTGCTGTATAATTCCCCCATGTGTGCAGTGTGTATGATGCGCAGTGTGTTGTGTTCCTCCAGGAGAGCAGTCAGCGGGAGATGGAGGAGAGCTGGGCTGTGTTCGCGGATCTGCAGCGGCTGCTGGAGCAGTCTCAGGCCGAGCTGCTGGAGCTCATCGCCAGCCGGCAGAAACAAAGCGAGCAGCAGGCCAAAGATCTGGCGGCCGGTTTGGAGCTGGAGCTCAACACACTGAGGAAGAGGAGCAGCGAGCTGGACGCCCTCGCCCAGACGCAGGACAGGGTGCTCTTCCTGCAGGTCTGCGCACTTATCTACAGAGTTCTTGCATTTTTTAATTTGTTTTATTATGTATTCTTTTATTTCTGTTGATTTAATTTTTTTATTTATTTTATATTTATTTGATATATATTTAATCTTATGTTTATTTATTCGTTTTGTTATGTATTCTTTCATTTTTTATTTATTTTATGTTTATTTATTTAATTTATATTAAATTTTTATTCTATTTGTTTATTTGTTTTATTTTTTAGTCTTTTATTTTTCATTTATTTGAATCTTTTAGATTTTATTTGTTTTATATATTTTTATTTATTTTATATTTATTATTAGATATTATTTATTATATACCTAATATAAGGTTTGTTTAAAAATTTTAATATGTATTTTTATTCTTATTTATTAATTTAATATATATTTAATAAAATTTGTATTTATTTGTTATAATAGGTGTTTTATTTTATTTATTTTATATTTCTTTATTTATTATATATTTAATATTATATATATTTGTTTTATTTATTCTTTTATTTTTATTTATTTATTTATTCATTGTATATTTAATAATAATTTATAAATTAGTTTTATTATGTATTCTTTTATTCTTATTTAATTAATATACTTTTAGTATAATTTTTATGTATTTGTTATATTAGGTGTTTTATTTTCTTTATTATTTATTTATTTATTTATTATATATTTAATATTATATTTTTTTATTTTGTTTCTTTATTTTTTTATTTTAACTCATGCTTAGCATTGTATGGTACCATTTGTACCTCCAAGTGTGTCCATCAGAGCAGTGCAATCTCTAATCATTCTTCTGAATGATTGATTGATTGATTGATTGATTGATTGATTGATTGATTGACAGTTCCTGCCATCTCTGCCTCCGCCCCCTGAGCCGTCTGATTGGTCAGCGGTTTCCATCAACACAGACCTGTATCTCAGCACCATCCGGAAAGCAGTCGGCTCTCTGACCGACAAATTCCAGCATGAGGTCAAACGGCTTTATGCCAAAGGTGAAATGATAATAAAATATAAGAAGATATAATAATTATTTAGGTATTTTATTACTGTCAGACTTGTTTTTGACTTGTTTAATGTTTTCCCCAACAATATTGTTTGGGTGTGCTAATGTTTGGTTAGATTAGTTTATCAGTTTTCTTTTTGGTACTGACTTATTTAATGAATATGCACAAATATATTACTGTAAAGCATCTTGTAGAAAATATTAAATAAATTTAAAAGAGATCAGTGAGGGGCAAACTTGTTTATACTGAACTAAATGTGTGCATATACATATGTGTGTGTGTGTGTGTGTGTGTGTTTTTGTCAATTAACTCTAATCATTACAGTAGCTATAATAGTTGTTTTCTTGCCAAATATTTTGAAAGTCTCATGAGTCAAAACTGATTGAGCCAGAGCACTGTATACACTTACTAATGTAGATGTTGATCAAGTGTTTGTTTGTCTTGCAGAACTCAGGAAGCTGCAGAACTATGCAAGTAAGTGCCATTCATATAATGAATTAGGCTGATCACTCGGGAATATTTTCAGAAGAACTACAATTTCTCGGGAGGCTAGGAATTGTGACTGTAACTGTATATATACACAGTAGTTGGTCAATGACACTGAAAGAGCTGTTTTTAGAGCACAGTAATTCCTCAGTATGGTGTAGTTCCTCCTCAATACGGCATCAGTTAGTCTTGGGAAAGACAGACACAGGTCCTGCACAGCGGCCAGAGGGATTTTGAGTCGTTCTTCTTGCTGAGCAGTGTTCAGGTCACTGCGTGATGCTGCTGGAGGAAAACCTTTTCTGACTCGCTCTCCCAAAAAACATGAAAGTGCTTAATAATATTTACATCTGGGTACTGTGCAGGCCATGGAAGATGCTCAATCACATTTTCATGCTCATTGAACCACTCTGTCATCAGTCTCACTGTGTGTATTGGTGAATTATCATGCTGATACACACCACCGCCTTCAGGATACAATGTTTGACCCATTGGGTCTACATTGTCCTCCAGAATGGTCCTTGGCAGTGACCCAGCGCCCATTTAGCACAAGTATTGGGGCTAGGGAATGCCATGATATTGAGGCCAACACATAACTGATCCCCCCATGCTTCACTCTGGTCTGGTGGGCCGCTTCTTTGGGGCTTCTCCACACCGTAACTCTCCCGGATGTGGGGAAACACAGTGAAGGTGGACTCATCAGTGTTATCCACTGCACAAGATTTTCACTACTGGCACCACTGAAACCAGTGTTTGGCATTGGCACAAGTGAGCAAAGGTTGGACTCTAGCAGCCGGCCATGTATATTGACCCTGTGGAGCTTCAGATGAACAGTTCTGCTGGAAACAGGAAGGTTGAGCTGCACATTTCATTCTGCAGTGAGTTGATCATCTGTGTTCTGGATATATCTGGATTATCAGCAGGACATCCCTCTCAGGCAGCTTCCTCTGGCCTCCACAGTTCCTCCCATTGGATGTGCTTCTTCTTCTTGGTGGTTGGCTGACATTACTCCAAACACTTGCTGTCTTGGTCACAGATGTGTCAGCGAGATGCACACCAACAATCTGTCCTCGTCTGAACTCTGATATGTCACACACAATGTTGTGTACATTATGTTAAGCAAAGCTGTGCTATTTCTCTGGTATTGAAGCCTATAACTCTGCTTTTACTGGTGGAGTGAAGAATCAGTGTCGATTGGCCAGCAGGCTGCTCAGATTTAGCCATCAAACCTCCAACACTAAACTGGCCAGTGTTTCAGTTTCATTGCTCTACCCCTGTATCGGTGGTTGTTTTATAGAATAAACCCTTTAGTCAGCTTTATTCTGCCAGAACGACCGGCGGGATGTACATTATCCCTTACATTATCCCTTCCAATGATCTCCGTCTTTCTCTAGGTGAGCTGATTTTGGATCCTGCCACGGCTCAGCGTGATCTCTGTCTGTCTGAAGATGGGAAGCAAGTGCGCTATGAAGAGCAGCGTAAAAACTCCAGCAACTCCGACACACCGCGGCGCTTCAGTCCAGCTCTGTTCGTTCTGGCTCGTGAGGGTTTCTCCTCCGGCAGACACTACTGGGAGGTGGATGTTGGACACAAGACAGCCTGGACCGTGGGGTTGGCCCGAAGCTCGGCGAGACGCAAGGGAGAAATCCGACTCAACCCTGAAGGTGGATTCTGGTGTTTGTGGCTGAAAAACGGAGAAGTGAAAGCGCTGACGGGAAGCAGAGTGGCGCTCCATCTGACCTCGCTCCCCCAGAAACTCGGCATCTTTCTGGATTATGAAGCCGGTCAGGTGTCCTTCTACGATGTGAAGACGCACACTCACCTGTACACATTCATCGATGCGTTCACTGAGAGCGTTTATCCCATATTCAGCCCCTGCCTCAACCAGGACGGCAAGAATCCCGGACCGCTGGTCATCACCGCCGTCAAACACAGCTGAGTTTCGGGAAATATCGTAATGTTACTGGACTTTACAAATGCATCGGTAAAATATTTAGACATTTATGATGAAGAAGAGTGTGATATTAAAACACCATCTAGAGTAAAAATACGAGATCAAATTTACACCAAAAGTATCAAATCGTGTATCTAAAAATAAGCGCAAATCAAAATATTTAAAACACATTAAAAAAGTTAAAAAAAAGTATCAAATCATGTATCTAAAAATAATAAGCGCAAATCAAAATATTTAAAAAGCATAAAAATTGTAAAAAGTATCAAATCGTGGATAGAAAAATAATAAGCGCAAATCAAAATATTTAAAACGCGTTAAAATAATAAAAAAGTATCAAATCGTGTATCGAAAAATAATTAGCGCAAATCAAAATATTTAAAAAGCATAAAAATTGTAAAAAGTATCAAATCGTGGATAGAAAAATAATAAGCGCAAATCAAAATATTCAAAACGCGTTAAAATAATAAAAAAGTATCAAATCGTGTATCGAAAAATAATTAGCGCAAATCAAAATATTTAAAAAGCATAAAAATTGTAAAAAAGTATCAAATCGTGGATAGAAAAATAATAAGCGCAAATCAAAATATTTAAAGCGCGTTAAAATAGTAAAAAAAGTATCAAATCGTGTATCGAAAAATAATAAGCGCAAACCAAAATATTTAAAACATGTTAAAATTGTAACGCAAAAATGAAAAATTAATGCAGGATACGAAACAATAAGGTCAGGTAAAACGTATCTATTATCGAAAGATAATGAGCGTGGGTCAAAAAACATGTTTAAAACTACATTACACAAAACTAAATTCGAATTTTATGAACGAAATCGTTTTTTGGTTCATATGAAATTTTTTTTGCATGCTTATGTTTTTAGTTGTTTAACACATTAAACATTGAGAACATTAAAATTATAACAACACACACAAGTGAAAACTAAATGCAGAATAAGAAGCAATGAGGTCACATATCGAGAGATAATGAGCGAGGATCAGAAATGAAAACGTTTAAAATTGCATTGCACAAAATAGAAATCTGAATTTATCTTGCAGTTTGCGAACGAAGCAGATTCTCCACTTATATGTACAATTTTTGTGTTTGTTTTTTTCGATCTTTAACACGTGTTAAAAATATAACAACACGCAAAACGAAAGCTTAATGCAGAACAAGAAACAACAAGGTCACGTATCGAAAGATAATGATCGTGGATCAAAAATAAATGTTTTAAATTACACTGCACAAAACCGGAATTTTACCAGTTTTTCCACTTGTATTAATTTTTGCCCTTCGCTCTCTTTGCACATTTAAATCAGGGCGAGATTCAGCGTCATCATTGGTCTACTTATTTTGATTGACAGCTGCTCCTCTAGCCAATCAGTGGAAGGGGGCTTTGACGTCACTCCAATGCGACTTGTCAATGCTAGTTAATTTCAAGTAATAGATCTGTATAAATCAGAAACCTAAACGTGATTGCACAAAGTTTTATATTAATATATATAATACATTTATTTTAGAACTTTAGAATGTAACTTATGACGTTTCCTTGTTGTTTTTGTGCATTATTGTTTTATTTTTTTTATTATTTTTTATTTTTAGATCTGTGTTCACAATACTTTTGGCTGAAATTTGATCCCATATAAAAAGACTATATTTAATTGAAGGATGCAGACAATTATTAAATATATATATAGTCTTGTTTAGAAAAGACCGTGTATTAAACTATGCAACTAAATAAGAATTAGGGCTGCCGATGACTATATTTTTATGATATAGAAGGGAAATAACACTGTTTTTATATGAATGTTCTGCTGTGTTCTGTTTGCCAAAGAAATGCAACTGATTGTAATAAGTTGCCAAAGTCCACTCTATAACCCTATAGAATATACTGTACATCTTGATTTATTCATTGAAGGAATGTTCTGTCCTCTGTTTACGGGTGATATGGCAATATGCATAAACTAAATGAAGAATATCAACTATGTGTTTCAGATCATTGTTCATTTTTATAACCAGGGTTTCCATGTATGCTGATTTTCTTAATAAAATCAATCAATAACATCTGTTTGTCACGCCACAATCATCATGAGTAAATGCAGAGATAAGATGAACTACCTATCACTACCACCTAGGCACAATCCTGCTTAGCTTCAGTCGGTGACAATAGAATATGAATCAACATCATGTTGAGTTGCATTATGCCATTGTTTCTAATACGCTCAGTGGCGCGCAATGTAAACCAGTGCACATCACCACAGAGAAAGCACACCGCTTCATACTAATAATACTATTTGGAAAACCGTCTTACTAATGTGTAGATATTTTTATAAACACGTTTTGTGAAGCTGAAAATGTGCATTCCTGTGCTAAAGCTGAGCATGGATGCAACACTAAAAAACTTTCATTTAAAGCCAAATTGGGTAAAAAATTTGACTAATCCAGAGAGTTTAATTCATTGCATATCAGTGTATAAAACATATCAAACCTCTGGAAATCAATGCAAAGCAGGCACCCGTGTCTCAGATTCCAGAGTGCCACTATTATATATCTTTAAAAAAATATTTATTGTTATTTAGAAAAGTAAATGAGTCCCCAAAAACAGAAATATCTTACTATCAGCCATGTTGCTGATCACATTACATGTGCCAAGGCAAGGACTGGCGCATTTGTATAGCATTCCAAAGAGTTTCGTTGTCAACAGCATTGTGGAAAGAGAAATAATTCATGTGCCGACTGAGTTATTAGATAGATAAACAGACAGACGGAGAGATGGATGAATGGATGGATGGATAAATAGATGGACAGACAGACAGAGAGATAGACAGAGAGATAGAGAGATATATAGACAGTTAGATAGACAGATGAATAGATGAACAGATAGATGAACAAGGATGGTTAGATAGATAGATAGATAGATAGATAGATAGATAGATAGATAGATAGATAGATAGATAGATAGATAGATAGATAGATAGATAGATAGATAGATAGATAGATAGATAGATAGATAGATGCATAGACGGATGGACGGACGGACAGACGGATGGATATATAGACAGATAGATAGATAGATAGATGGATGGATGGATGGATGGATGGATGGATGGATGGATGGATAGATAGATAGATAGATAGATAGATAGATAGATAGATAGATAGATAGATAGATAGATAGATAGATAGATAGATAGTTTGATTTTGGTAACATTTTTGGTGATGTTGTTTCTAGTCTGATCAATTACTAAATACACGCAGCCCTGATCAGGACGGTCTGATAGTCTGAGCCGTGTCTGGTGACGGTGCTGTCAAAGTGAAACTAGGCTAAGGGGGCGGGCAGGGGATATTTCAGGAGAAGCGGAGCGTCAGCTGTGCCACATGTCACTGCTGTCCAGAGCAGGTCCGACATTGGGATTCAACTACAACACACTGCTGGTGAGTCTCAGAAATGCTTGAATGGAGTTGATCTGAGAAACTGCATGTTCTGTGTGACAAACAGCCAAAGCAGCGAGTTGAACATGTCTCTCTTTGAACATGAAACTTGCGTGTTCCCAAATAATAACAGTGAATATCAATGCATTACTCTTGAGTCTTAAAAAAAGTGTAGTCCAAATTATTAAGAAAATAAATTGCATGTATTTTTTTGCAAATTGTTTGCTCAGTGTTTCAATACTATTCCAAGTTGGACTGTTATTGTTGCGACATTTTCTGACATTCCTAGAAAATAAATTTATATATATATATATATATATATACACATTTTTGTATTTTTAAATTTTTTCCCTTTTCCCCTTTGTACAAATGGATGGTTTCATGGCATCTGCTTATATATATATTTTATTTTATTATTTTTTTTTTATGTATCATAATTTGAATTAAATATTGATCTTTAAAAATCAAAGAGGAACGTAATTTTTCCCAAATAATAATAATAGTGAATATAAATTAATAAGTATTTTGAGTGTAATAATTAATCTGTACAAGTACAAGTCATTAAATGAGTTGCATGCAGGTGTTGTTTGTGAGTCTGGGAAGCCTGCGGGACTTTTGGACTAAAGATAATCTGCGGCTCTATGAATAGCCAGGCTTTACATATTCCTGAAGTCTTTCTGTGCTGCGTGTCGCAAAGAGCACAAACCAACAGCCGGAGCGCTAATCAAATCCAAATGACTCAGTAAATTAAGCATACAGTGTATATATATATATATATATATATATATATATATATATATATATATATATATATATATATATATATATATATATATATATATACTGTCAATAATGCCAGCAAGTGTGTTTAATCTTAAATCAACATAAACTTAAATCTATAAAAAGTTCAATCTTAAATCAACTGCTGCACACAATTTAGACAGTTTAATTTGATTTACAAGAAGAAAAAAAAACTAAACAAAGTTATTGTTTGAATTTAAAAGTATTGAAGATTATAAGGTCTTGCTGTTTATCAAATATAGGCAGACAGATAATATTTATGTTTAAAACAGATCAACAATTCCCAGTTTTAACACATTTTGTTGATAACATTGTTACATCCTCATTATGTGTGGTTTATTTATTAAGTAATTTCGAGAGGAGCGTGTGCTTATGATTACCTCGAAAATAACAAACATTCAAATACATAAATTTACTTGAATTTAGATATCTGGTAAATTTCTGTAATTCAACCTCTGTTATTTTACAAAAGATTTCTGTTATATATATATATATATATATATATATAGTTTTTTTTTTTTATAGTGTAGATTTTGAACTGAAGCAGCTGAGGAAGGGCAGAGGCTTGCTGAAAAACTACTGAGATATTTCAGCTGCTGTCTGGGCGTTCACTGCCGAACTACACCTTCCTTTCTTCATGTGTTCAATACTTTTTCTCTGCATCATTTTATTACACAGAACTTTATTTACGAACTACTTAGTTTTCTTTTCTTTGCATATGCCGATTTATTTTGTTGCTACCAACATCCTGTGAAAACTCCAAGTCAACAGCACCACATTATTCTGAGAAAAATTATGACATGTTCAATACTTATGTCCCCCACTGTATCAATTTCTGGCTAACCACAATCAAGAAGCACGCAATTTCAAAAGTCTAAACAATGAAACAGATGTACCATCGTCTATTGTTATTTGCTCATCAAGATTGCAGTGTGCAGCTGTCCATGATTCCCCCCGTGTCTATGTAGGAATGGCATCTCCCAGCAGCATGTTGGCGGAGGAGCAGGTGCACTGTTCAATCTGTCTGGATGTGTTTACCAACCCCGTCTCCATCCCATGCGGACACAACTTCTGCATGGCCTGCATCGGCAGCTACTGGAAGTCCAGCGCTCTTTTCATGTGCCCGATGTGCAAAAAGACCTTCTTCAAGCAGCCCGACATCAGCATCAACACAGTGCTCCGAGAAATCGCCGAGAAGTTCAAGGAAATGAAAAGAAATCCAATTGTAAGTCTACAAAGCGCAACTCAACCGGACCCAACACCGAGCCCTGTGGAACTCCCCATTGAGATGCCTGAACTGATTCCTCCGAACGCACCGTGGGCTCAGGAGGTGTCCTGCGACGTGTGCACTGGCCCTCAGAGACGGGCCGTGAAGTCCTGCTTGGTTTGTTTGACGTCGTATTGCGAGGAGCATCTGAAGACGCACACCGTACGCTTCACCAAACACAAGCTGATCGAGCCCGTGCTGAATCTGGAGGACCGCATGTGTAAGAAGCACGAGCGGCTGCTGGAGCTCTTCTGTAAGAAGGATCAGACCATAGTGTGTGTGTTGTGCACAGAGATGGAGCACAGGGCGCATTACACTATCCCCGTCGAGCGAGAGTGGGCCGAGAAGAAGGTGAGCATGCAGATGCTGAGATTTTGATTGAATATTACCAAACTGCTTGTTTTTAGTGGATAAACGCACTAATTAATTGTTCCCCTAAACAAAATCAATGTGCACTAGCAAAGTAATCATGGTCAATTTTGATTTCACATGGACTTTAATAAGGATAAGCGGATTAAAAGCGCCTTATTTTCACATCTGTATTATGTATTGACAGGCATTACTGAGGAAAACTGAATCTGAAGTCCAGCAGATGATCCAGGACAGACTGAAGAAAGTTGATGAGATCAAACACTCCATAGAGCTGAACAAAGTAAGTTGAAGTGTTCATGTGTCCGAGTGTTTAATAGTTAATAAGGTGGTGAAGTTAATGGCACTTTAAAAAGTTCAAAAACCTTTTTGTCATGCTGATTGAAAGTATGAACACATCTCAATAGCACTTAGCCATCCCAGAGATCATCTTGACACCAAAAATGCATTAAAAACAGGTTAAAATGCTAATCGATTTGATGTCAAAATCTGGACATCTTGATATCTACACATTGATGCCCTTTTGACCACCCAATAACTATACAAAAACTGCAAGAACATCATTAAGTAATTAATTAATTCATTTATTCATTTTCTTTTTGGCTTAGTCTCTTTATTAATCTAGGGTAGCCACTGTGGAATGAACTGTCAACTTATCCAGCATATGTTTTACACAGCGGATGCCCTTCCAGCTGCAACCCATCACTGGGAAACACCCATACAAACTCATTCACACACAAACACGACAGACAATTTAGCCTACCCAATTCACCTGTACCGCATGTCTTTGGACCACCCGCACCCTCAGTTATATCCACCGCCCGCACCCTCAGTTATATCCACCACCCGCGCCCTCAGTTATATCCACCACCCGCGCCCTAAGTTATTTCCACCACCCGCACCCTAAGTTATATCCACCACCCGCACTCTCACCCTCAGTTATATCCACCACCCGCGCCCTCAGTTATATCCACCACCCGCGCCCTCAGTTATTTCCACCACCCGCGCCCTCAGTTATATCCACCACCCGCGCCCTCAGTTATTTCCACCACCCGCGCCCTCAGTTATTTCCACTACCCGCGCCCTCAGTTATATCCACCACCCGCGCCCTCAGTTATATCCACCACCCGCGCCCTCAGTTATATCCACCACCCGCGCCCTAAGTTATTTCCACCACCCGCACCCTAAGTTATATCCACCACCCGCACTCTCACCCTCAGTTATATCCACCACCCGCGCCCTCAGTTATATCCACCACCCGCGCCCTCAGTTATTTCCACCACCCGCGCCCTCAGTTATATCCACCACCCGCGCCCTCAGTTATTTCCACCACCCGCGCCCTCAGTTATTTCCACTACCCGCGCCCTCAGTTATATCCACCACCCGCGCCCTCAGTTATATCCACCACCCGCGCCCTCAGTTATATCCACCACCCGCGCCCTCAGTTATATCCACCACCCGCGCCCTCAGTTATTTCCACTACCCTTGCCCTCAGTTATATCCACCACCCGCACTCTCACCCTCAGTTATATCCACCACCTGCGCCCTAAGTTATTTCCACCACCCGCGCCCTCAGTTATATCCAGCACCCGCGCCCTCAGTTATTTCCACCACCCGCGCCCTCAGTTATTTCCACCACCCGCGCCCTCAGTTATTTCCACCACCCGCACCCTCAGTTATTTCCACTACCCGCGCCCTCAGTTATATCCACCACCCGCGCCCTCAGTTATATCCACCACCCGCGCCCTCAGTTATTTCCACTACCCTTGCCCTCAGTTATATCCACCACCCGCACTCTCACCCTCAGTTATATCCACCACCATTTCCACCACCCGCGCCCTCAGTTATATCCAGCACCCGCGCCCTCAGTTATTTCCACCACCCGCGCCCTCAGTTATTTCCACCACCCGCGCCCTCAGTTATATCCACCACCCGCGCCCTCAGTTATTTCCACCACCCGCGCCCTCAGTTATTTCCACCACCCGCGCCCTCAGTTATATCCACCACCCGCACCCTCAGTTATATCCACCACCCGCACCCTCAGTTATATCCAGCACCCGCGCCCTCAGTTATTTCCAGCACCCGCGCCCTCAGTTATTTCCACCACCCGCGCCCTCAGTTATATCCACCACCCGCACCCTCAGTTATATCCACCACCCGCACCCTCAGTTATATCCACCACCCGCACCCTCAGTTATATCCACCACCCGCGCCCTAAGTTATTTCCACCACCCGCGCCCTCAGTTATATCCACCACCCGCACCCTCAGTTATAATCGTAAGTTGCACAGGCCTTTTCACCCAAATATTAGCATTTTTGCCTGTTCTGATCAGTGTGTTTGTCCTCCTAAACACAGAGCGGCGCTCAGCGGGAGGTGGAGGACAGCATGCAGGTGTTCTCAGACCTGATCCGAGCGCTCCAGAAGGCTCAGGCCGAGCTGGTGCTGGACATCGAGGAGAAGCAGAGGAAAACTGAGAGCAGAGCTAATGAACAAATCCAGGAGCTGGAGCAGGAGATCACAGTGCTGAAGACCAGGAACGAGGAGTTAGAGTATCTGTCACACACTGAGGACCACATACACTTCCTGCAGGTGAAGCACATTCAACACACACACACACACACACACACACACACACACACACACACAAACACACACACACACATACGATTCACGTCATAATCAATAACTGCATGACTGATTCTCCTTCAGCTTAGTCCTTTATCAGGGGTTGACACAGCAGAATGAACCAGGAACTATTCCAGCATATGTTTACACAGCTGATGACCTTCCAGCTGCAACCCAGTACTGGGAAACACTCATATAAACTCATTCACTCACACACTCATACACTACAGCCAATTTAGTTGATCAGTTCCCCTATAGCGCATGTGTTTGGACTGTGGGGGAAACCGGAGCACCCGGAGGAAACCCACGCCAACAAGGGGAGAACATGCAAACTCCACACTGAAATGCCAACTGACCCAGCCGGGACTCGAACCAGTGACCTTCTTGGTGTGAGGTCACAGTGCTAACCACTGAGCCACAGTGCCACCCATGTCTGATACCAGCATATGAGTATCAGACCAACCCTATTTACTATAAACAAAGGTGTATTCGATGACTCTGTGACTGAGGGTGGAATCATGGGAGCTGTGGTCTTCATTCCAGAACTTTCCCTCATTGATGTCTCACCCACACACTAAAGACTGGTCTGAGATCTGTGTGCATGCGGATCCGTGTGTCGGCACCATCAGGAGAGCAGTGCTCAAACTGGAGGAGACTCTGACTGAAGAAGTGGAGAAGCTCGCAGAAGCAGGTACAAACTGCTGCGGTTTATTACACATTCAATATGTGTGTTTTACTAGTGCACAGTGTCGTGAGGGGCAGATTTCAGCATCTCTGTGGGAAACATTGCACTTAAAATAATAATAATAATAATAATAATAATAATAATAATAATAATAATGATAATGATAATGATAATGATAATAATAATAATAATAATAATAATAATAATAATAATAATAATAAAAATATATATTCATGTGTTGGATTACACTGAAAAACATGCTTTCTTACTTAGAGGTTTTGTCTTGTTTCTAGTCAAAATATATAAACATTCTTAAATCCAGCAGGTTTTTGACAGGTAAAAACAATATTGTCTTGTTTTCAGAGATATTAAATCCAAATTAGGTGATTTTTTTTACTTAAAACAAGCAAAATAACTCTCTTTCAGTTAAATATATGTATTTATACAACAATTCTGTCCAGTGTTGCCAGATTGGGCGGTTTCCCGCGGCTTTGAACAGGTTTTGCACTGGAACGCACCAATGCTATGCAGTTTATTTATAAGGATAGTGCTTATTTTAAAATTATTATCATTTCTGAGATTCAGCATGTTCACAACTGTGAGATTCACAACTAAAATGTATCATTCAGGTAATTTCACTTATGGTGATTGACTGGATATAGGAAGGAAAACTACTGCGTTTCTTTAATTTATTAAAGGTTTTGCAGAGAATTCTGGAAAGGTCAATTTACGGTAATTCGCTGTATATAGGAAATCACTCACAGTTAACCAGCTAACACATTTTACAGTGTTTTTTACAGTGTATGTATTTCTGTTATTCTCCACAGAGCTGAGGAGGGTTCAGAAGTACTCAGGTAAAGCTTCTTTTTACTTTTGATCTGTTAAATATCACCAATCCACTTATTTCCACTTATTTTTATGTATCTATGCCTTTTGGCTCGGTAATGAAACTAGGAAATATATATATTATTGATTGAGTTACCCATAGCTAGCGCCAGACAGAATCTGTGGGTCATTTTTTGCTTTTTCTGTGCAGGATTTTGCCTAAAATAAATAAATAAATAAATAAATAAATAAATAAATAAATTTACAGATTTCTGTGGAGTATTTTGCTTAAAATAAATAAATAAATAAATAAATAAATAAATAAATAAATAAATAAATAAATAAATAAATTTACAGATTTCTGTGGAGTACTTTGCTTAAAATAAATAAATAAATAAATAAATAAATAAATAAATAAATAAATAAATAAATAAATTTACAGATTTCTGTGCAGGATTTTGCTTAAAATAAATAAATAAATAAATAAATAAATAAAAAAAATTACAGATTTCTGTGGAGGATTTTGCTTAAAATAAATAAATAAATAAATAAATAAATAAATAAATAAATAAATAAATAAATAAATAAATAAATAAATAAATAAATAAATAAATAAATAAATAAATAAATAAATTTCTGTGGAGGATTTTGGCAGTGTGGTCACTAAAACCCTAAAACATGAAAAAAAAAACCAAAAAAAAAAAAACATCTGTTTGACTTTTATAATTAAGGCTTACAATGCAAATCCAATTAGGTCCACATGTTTGGTAAGAAAAGCAAGTCTCTCATATAATATATAATCTTGGTATAATATAAAAAACAGTACAAACTGTATTGTAAATAAGTCTTTTTTTAATAAGTAGACCTTTCAGAAGTTCTCAGGAGTAGTGAGTAGTGAGTATTTTGCTGCATAAAGCTGATGCATTTGAATGTAATTTGTGGATGTGTGTAAACGTAACATTCTGTAGTGTATTTAGCTATTGCCTAGCAGACACACAATGCCCTAAGACAGTAATTTTAGGTTAGATTTAGGTTGTGATGTCAGAAGATCAATATTTAATGTCTAATAATATTTGCATATTATTTAATATAATTACCGAAATATTATAAAAACTGACCCCCTATGAACAAAAGCAGCCACCTTTCTCTGAGCTCTACTACACACTCGTAGTGTGTATTGCCTCTTTTTGTAGAATCTCTGAATACCTCCTCACTTGTAAGTCGCTTTGGTCAAAGAGTGTCTGTATGGGCCTACCCATTACATATTGTTCATCAATGTCTACCCCTACCCCAACCCTAAACCTACCGTAGCATAAGAACCAACCCAGGCTCATTCTGAAAATGTACCCCTGTATACATTTCTGGAGAGCCCCAAAAAGAGGCCAGGAGCTATTTTTTTTTTGCAGTTTTTGTTTTCGCTAATCTGCCAGAGGGCGCTGTGTACACTTTTTCAGATCTCCACATTCTCTCGTGTCATTCGCATCTGCTGTTCTCGCGTAAATCCATCAGGGGCCACTGTCGACTGACTGACTGACCGATCGACTGACCCACCCTCCCACTTCCCTCAACCCAATCAATAGTGTTTTCAGAAGCACCAATTGACCCGACCACCACTTCCCTAAGTTAAACTATTTTAAAAAGCAATAGAGAAAAAGAAAAGCCCTCACCAGCCATACGTAGCTCTGGCTACATAGCTAGAGATCTCCAAAAATGTACGTAGGGCTACGTTTTCAGAATGAGCCTGTGTTGGCAAAAGCAGTAACTTGTGTTGTACAGTGCTATATTGGTGCAAGTATCCACAGCTGCCTCCCTTCTAGACTTTCCCCTCAGTCTGACTCATAATTGATGTTCCCTATGTAGTGGACGTGACCTTTGACCCGGACACGGCGAACCCTTGGCTCCAGCTGTCGGAGGATGGTCATCAGATTCGTCACCTGGGCTCGTGGCAGGACCTACGGGATGCTCCGGAGCGGTTCGATACGGTGGTGATCGCTCTGGGCCGGCAGGGCTTCTGTTCTGGCCGCCGCTACTGGGAGGTTCAGGTGGGCGAGAAGGACGACTGGTACCTGGGAGTTGCCCGCGGGTCTGTCAACAGAAAGGGCAGGATCTCAGTGAGTACAACTCAGGGTTACTGGGCTCTAGCCATGAAGAAGGGCCAGGAGTACAGGGTCTCGTCCTCTCCGCCACTGCTGGTGTCCGTCGAACATAAACTGAAGAGAGTAGGCGTCTATGTGGACTACGAGGAAGGACAGGTGTCGTTTTATGACGTGCAGAACAAGAGTCACATCTACACCTTCATGGACACGTTTAAAGAAAAGCTCTTTCCGTTCTTCTACCTGTACTGCTGCGATAAAGCCTCCGATACCATGATCATCTGCCCCGTTCAGGAGACGCCGCATACTAAACAGTGCTGAGTACTCCCGCACATTTAAATACTGTAGTAATATAGAGCCGACGTCAGAATCATTATTCCTTCAGCGACTGCTATTTGATGAGCATGAAGAAATAAATATGAGCATAAAAATAACCTAAAAACAACAATAGTTGTGAAAGAGTGCAACAGAAAAACATCACACAGAAAACAAATTAATTTTGATAAAATGAAATGGAATTCCTGATAGTCCATGACTTGACACAAAAACAAACAAACAAACAAACAAACAAACAAACAAACAAACAAAGTCCCTGACTTCTAATGTTTGGAATAAAAAAAAAAAATTGTACGATATTCCAAAATTTCTGTTGTTGGGATTCTATAGTTGCTATGGCAACACAGCAACTACAGTAATTGATCTTTTGAGGTGTTTCTGCAGTTGCTATGGTAACACAAAAACTACAGTAATTGATCTGTTGTGGTGATTCTGCAGTTGCTATGGTAACACAACAACAACTGCAATCATTTATCTGATGTGGTGATTCTATGGTTGCTATGGTAACACATCAACAACAACAACAGTAACTGGTCTGTTGTGGGGATTCTGCAGTTGCTATAGTAACACAGTATTTGTAGTAATATAAACATTTAACCTGATAGGCTACTATAGGGAATATTACACTCCAGTACACTTAACTGTAGTAAAATCTAAAGTATACTACTACAGTTTATGAATTGACTATAGGTATTACTACAGTATGCTGAAGTATTTAATAATGCTAATTTTATATAGTAGGAGGTTCAAAAACACTATTAGTATTTACTATGAATTACTGTAGTATTTTTTTATGTGAGCTACTTTCTGTTTTTAATGTGCTTCCACATTATAATGCTCTCGGTTGTGACTGCATGGCCACGAACTTCCAGCACCTGCAAAATAATGAATTATTATCCTCCATTTTTATGCGTTTGTACTTGTATGTATAGAACTGAATGTTGAAATAAACATGTAAAGCAGTGCTAGTGTGTTTATCACATCTGTTTCCACCAACTATTATTATATTAGTTTTATTATTATTATTATTATTATTATTATTATTATTATAAATATTATTATAAATATTATTATACATTTTATAAATAATATTATCATTGTTATCATTATAATAATATTATTATTATTATTATTTTTGTTATTATTTTATTATTATTATTACTATTATTAATATTATTTATATTATTATTGTTATTATTATTATTATTATAAATAATATTATTATTGTTATATTATTATTATTATTACTAATAATAATAATAATATTAATAATAATAATTCTAATAATAATTATAACAACAACAATAATATTAATAATAATAAAAACAATAATAATATTGTTGTTATTATTGTTGTTGTTATTAATAGTATTATTATTGTTGTTGTTGTTGATCTTCTTTTTCTTCTTGTTATTATTAATTTTATTATTATTGTTGTTATTAATATTGCTGTTGTTGTTATAATTATTATTATTATTATTATTATTATTATTATTATTATTATTTTTAAGCTATTACTAATAGCATACACAACAGAAAATACTAACTTTTAATGTTTTAATGTCATACACTAATGCTTCTTAATTTAAGACTTTTAGAAATTTGGACAAGAAACAAGACAGATCTCGAAGTGAGAAAAGCATTTATTGCAGTGCAGGTATTTTTTCTTTTGTGTGTGTTTCGAGTGTTCAGCAACATCTGACTCCTCATTTCAGGAGCTCTTCTGCATTTCGAGGACTGAAACTTCAAACGTTTTCATCTTATTATCCATTGTCAGGAGTTTCCTCAGGAGTTTTATCAGACCCGACACACATTTTCTTCCCCATTCAGACTCGAGCACACGCTGCAGAAAACGACTGAGTCAGAAATAAAAGCCATTATGACACTCAGCACTCTGCACTAATCAAAGCAAACACACTCGCTGGATTTGCATATTTAAATCCCGGACGACTGCAAGATCCTTCAAGACAGTTCGCTCTCAGTGTCAGTAATAATCGCTCGTGTCAATGTATAGATAATAAGTGAGAACAATGAGCTTGCATTCCTTTCTCAGAAACCACCATTATAATGAAACAACTTTGAGTAACAACACTAATTACACCAGGTTAACCTAAAAATAATGTTTGCATGTGTATTTAGAGAAATTTTGTCTATTAAAGTTAATAAATATCAACTTAAATACTATTTCAACAATCAAAATCAATTAACAATCAAATTGCATTGCATTATTCATTCATGGTCGCCACAGCGGAATGAAACATCAACTGTTCCTGTTGGGGCGGCACAGTGGAGCAGTGAGTAGCACAATCTCCTCACAGCAAGAAGGTTGCTGGTTCAAGCCTCAGTTGGGTCAGTTGGTGTTTCTGTGTGGAGTTGTGGAGTGGTTTCCTCCGGGTGCTCCGGTTTCACCCACAGTCCAAACACATGCGCTATAGGGGAATTGATGAACTAAATTATCCATAGTGTATGAGTGTGTATGGGTGTTTCCCAGTGATGGGTTGCAGCTGAAAGGGCATCCGCTGCGTAAAACATATGCTGGATAAGTTGGTGGTTCATTCCACTGTGGTGACCCCTGATTGCTAAAGAGACTAAGCCGAATAGAAAATGAATGAATGAATATATGAAATTGATTATTAAACTGTATACTCTGCGATATATTGACAAAGAAATCTCTTTGCTTTAGTTTTGCTGGTGGTTTCAGGCATTGAGTTATCAGTTCAAAGACGAGAACATCGCTAAAAAAAAAAAAAAAGCCTTCACGTTTTCATATTAATTTTGCGGTATTATTACAATGCATGAAACATTGTAGGGAATATTTGAAAAAGAAACTAAATTTCACAGGAGGGCGAATCATTATATAATATATCTAATAATTGAATATATATAGTTTTATATATAGTTTATATACATTTCATTTCAAAATGAGCTTACTTCTTGTAAATCCTTCAACAAACCATAGTGATTGCCATACTTCCAAACAAGATGATAGAAGATACAAATGAAAAGAGATAATATAGATTCATTCATTCATTTATTTTCTTGTTGGCTTAGTCCCTTTATTAATACGGGGTCACCACAGCTGAATGAACCGGCAACTTATCCAGCAAGTTTTTACGCATCGGATGTCCTTCCAGCCGCAACCCATCCCTGGGAAACATCCACACTCACATTCACACACACACTCATACACTATGGACAATTTAGCCTACCCAATTCACCTGTACCGCATGTCTTTGGACTGTGGGGTTAAACCGGAGCACCCGAGGAAACCCACGCGAAGGCAGGGAGAACATGCAAACTCCACACAGAAACACCAACTGAGCCGAGGATCGAACCAGCGACCTTCTTGCTGTGAGGCGACAGCACTACCTACTGCGCCACTGCCTCGCCCAAAATACACTGCAAAAAAAAAAAAAGCTTTTCTTACTGAGATTATTTGTCCTGATATTTCTAAATATCTAACAATTCTTAAATCAAACCAATTGTCTTGTTTTAAGAACGTAAATGGCAAAATGAAGTGGGGTGTTTGTTAAAACCATTTTTTTTCTTTTGATATAAGATTATTCTGCTCCACTGGAAGATGATTATTCTTGTTTTTAGGGAAAAACTCTCTTAATTTTGGCATATTAATTCTCAAAACGAGACAAAAGTTTTGCTTGTCTAGAAAATGCTCCTTGATTTAAGAGTTTATCGATATTTGGACTAGAAACAGGACAAAAACTACGTAAGCAAAACAACATTTTTTGTAGAGTACTCCAATTCTTAAAAAAAACAAAACCTAATATTTCCCCTTCCTCTCACGTACAGAAGTCGGAGTGTTTAACATCACAAATGACCAGAGGACTTCCATTATTTCCATCTCTGTTGACATGAGGGTTAAAATATGGTCGGATGGCTCCATTAAATCTGCACTCTCTGTAAGTATAAATATGGGTCTGAGCCTCCATGTCATAGAAAGAAACCAGCGCCGCCTCGCAGTCCACATAAACACCCAGTTTTTGGGGATTGGAGGAGAGCTGAAGCATGATTGGTGGATCTTCAAAAGCTCCGTACATGTTCGACCCACACAGAACGATGACCCAATATCCCTTGCTGGGTTTGTAGGAGATTTTCCCTTTCATATTCGCCCCTTCTCTCATTACGCCCAGTTGCCAGCCCACCTTCCTCCCGACGTCCACCATCCAGAACGCTCTTCCCGATGTGATGCTTGATTTACCCAGGATTCCTCCATCCTGGTCAAACCGATTCAGGCCACGAGATTTTCCAGAGTTTCTTCCGCTGTCTCGAACTGCCTTGCCATTTGTAGACACTTCTAAATCCGGATGAGCCGTTTCAGTGTCCAGAATAATGTCCACTGTGTCAAAAAAATAAAGGAGATTCCCCATTACAGGATGTGCGAGATGAACATTCATCATGCTGAAATGATTGGTGCACATACCTGCGAATCTCTGAATCCTGCCTATTTCTGTAATGAGAACTTCACCTATAAAGAGGCAGAGGCAGTGTTCCTCTGCCATCGTTCCTCCTTTTATAGTCCAGAGCTCCTTTCGTAGGATTCGAGGCAGGTGCGCACCGCAGGTGTATCCACTTACGCGGCGGCCTCAATCCGTTCCCACGGCTCTCGGCCACGCCCCCTCGCCACAGGCAAATAGATGTACAGTACTAACTTGGCATTTTTCTGCTGATTCCTTAAGCTCCTTGAGTTTGTCTTCCCTCTTTTTGATCTTCATTTTCATCTCTTCAATGGGGTTTCGGTGCTTGGCCTGAATAAACACACAATGCAAGCAGATGTGTTGTTTGTCATTGCTGGAGTAACTGAGGCACAAGCTGTAATGCGATGGCCTCTTATAATAATTGCATAATTTGCACTAATGATCCCAGTTGAAACCTTACAGACAGATTCTGAGACATCTTGAACTTATGTCACATCTTGTAAAGCACCCACAGGTTCACCTTCAGCACACGGTTCAATCACCAGCTCAATCGGTATCATCGGCGTACAAGTTCTCACCTCTCTAATCTTTCTCTCGGACTTCACAGGTATCACGTCATCATCTGTTTTCACACACAATGCGCAGATGCAGCACTCGTTGCGTCTGCAGTAGAGCTCCAGCGCTCTGCCGTATTCAGTGCAGGATCTCTTATCCAAGTCCTTCACGGCATTCACCAGCGTATGGTTCTTGAATCTCGCCTTCGACTGGTGCTGCTTCAGGTGTTTATCGCAGTATGAGAGAAGACAGGTCAGGCAGGACTTGATAGCTTTATAGGTGAAGTCTTTCTCACAGATGTCACATGGAACTGCATCAATTTCTCCGCTGAAGAGATCGGGGTTGGGTGGAAGAGTCTGGCGAAACTCCTGCAGGAGGGCTTCAATCGCTTCATTGACAGAGGGTTTGGTGGACACGGGCTCCTGGCATAGAGGACACTGTGATTCAGACAAGCTCTCATCCAGACAGCGCTTGCAGAAGGTGTGTCCACAGCTGATGGAGACGGGTTCCTCAAGCAGGGTTTTGCAGACGGGACAGAGAAGGTGACGAGAGACGTCTCCAACTGTAAGCATTGTGGATGTGTCAGATTAGAGTAGAGGGGACGGCTGCAATGACAATGCTAATTATGAAATAAAACATGCACAAAATCAGATGCTAAACAAGGGTGCATCAGAAAATATGCCATGAGATGATCTGTAAAGTATTATTGCAATGAGCACTGGGATTGTCAGTCAGGCAGTCAGTCAAACAACCAAGATATAAATAATTAATTAATTAATTTGTTAGATAGTTAGTTAGTTAGCTAGTTAATTAGTTAGTTAGTTAGTTAGTTAGTTAGTTAGTTAGTTAGTTAGTTAGTTAGTTAGTTAGTTCGTTAGTTAGTTCGTTAGTTAGTTAGTTAGTTAGTTAGTTAGTTAGTTAGTTAGTTAGTTAGTTAGTTCGTTCCATCCATCCATCCATCCATCCATCCATCCATCCATCCAACCATCCAACCATCCAGTCAACCAGCCAGTCAGCTAGCCAACCATCATTTCTCTCATAAAGCAGCTCTTATTATATGATAGTCATGACTACAAATTATGGCAAGAAGCATGCTGTATTAGAGTAATATATATATATATATATATATATAACATCATCATCATAATCTTCATCATCATTATTATTATTATTAATAATATTATTATTAGTGTTATTATTATTAGTGTTATTATTAGAATTATAATCATACTTTTTCCTTTAATATTATTATTATTACTATTATTATTATTATTATTATTATTATTATTATTATTATTTTATTATTATTGTCCATACATTTTCCTTTAGTATTATTATTATTATTATTATTATTATTATTATTATTATTATTATTATTATTATTATATTATTGTCCATACATTTTTCTATGATAATAATATTAATATTATTATTATTATTATTAATAATAATATATTATATCATAATATTAATCTAATATTAATAATATCAATCAGATAGTTGTTTGCAAATAATAGTGATAATAATAATAAAATAATAATAAAAAATATAATAATTATATACATCATTATTATTATTATTTGCAAACAACTTTTATCTATGATTATTATTATTATTATTTTTTATTATTATTTGTATTATTATTATTATTGCAAAAAACTTTGATTGATTGATTGATTATGATTTGATTAATTAATTATGATAAATGATAAAAAGAAAATCTAACTAACCTTGTCAGATGAATGAACTCTTCTTCTCTCCAGTATCTCTGGATCTGTCGCTTCTCTTATTTAAATGAGAAATGAGCTACACCCTCTGTCACACCTTTTCTTTTTTTCACATTTATTTGCATTCAGTGTGTACATCACAGCTTCAGATGATCATGCAGTAAAAAGTGACCGCGCTGGTCAATCAGTGACTCTTTCTCTTCACATGCTGGACATCACTGTATTTTGTCAGCACTTTATGCTTCACAGATAAACTTTTATTGTGCTTTTTCGTAATCTCGAAACTCAACATGCCACGATTCAGTTTAGTTACATGTAAAAGAGCACCCAGCCTGTTCTTCAGCATTTCTTTTTCAATAAGGGTGTTGTGAAACTTTGGCAGTACATCGTGTATTTAAGCTTGACAGACAGTTGTGTGATCTGAAAATGAACTCAACACGTCAACCTGAATAGGAAAACCTGTAGTGGAAACGAAACTAACCTGAGAGAATAAGAAGTGACTTGGACATAACTATTAAAGATATTCATTCATTCAGTTCCTTCGGCAAGTGAAACTAAGGCCAATCACGATTCTGTTTTTGTACCCCTTCCTCTTCCCCTTAACCCTTGGAACAGAGTGTGAAGGGGAGGGGCTTTAAAATTGACCCCCAATGCTGTGTACATACCAGACGCGGAAGATGTTAGGTCAATGCAAACGTGCAAATAGATGCGAATGACGCGAATTGCGCAAATGGCGTGGTGCGAATGCCGCGATATGCGCGAATGGCGCGACGTAAACTGAGCGTTTTGCGGGTTTGACGCGGGAATCGCTCAAGTTCAAAAATCTGAATTTAAGCGGACATTCGCATCACGTTAGCCTTCATAAAGCACATAAACACAGTTATTTTCTCACTAAAATCCACGTTAGCCATTTAGCAACGAAGCTACAGTCACCAGGCAGACAGAAGCTCTGCCCTTCACGCAAATCCGCGTCAGTGGTGAAGTGAATTTAATGCGCTAATGAAGTGGGGTTTGCCGTGCGAATGAAGCAAGTAAACTCAAATGTTCACGTGTCTATTTACGCATGAATAGCGCGATTTATCCGTGCGTTTAGTGTCACTACAGCACCTGCACACATCATCACGATCTCTTACTTCATATGAGATCAGACGATGGCGACTGCTGTGATTATTCCAGTTGTGTTATTTGTTTAGTATTTATTTTCAGGAAATCACTGAAGGTAACGATATCATGTTATCATAACGATCTAATGTGTCAATACGCTCATAACTGTACTGTGTATTTACACCATGGGCATATTCATCTATGTAAACACACGAAACCAACACTAACATTACAGCAGACACTGTAAACAGCTCATTCCCAGCCACTAGACATCACTGACAGGGTGTTCGAGTGTCAGAATGTTGCAGGACTGCTGTACAGGAGATATTATTAGGGGTTATAGATCGCCAAATTTATTGGGTTTTTTAAGCATGATGGTAAAACAGGAACGCGGTTATGAATATATTAAAACTTGTTTGTTTGTTGAAAAAAAATCGGAATAATGACAAAAAATACTAATTTGTGGATCTCCTTACTTCCGGGTGCAGCCATGTTGCCATTGTGGCTGGTGTATTCTGGGAAATTTCGAGTGTGGTCCTGAAAAATCTTGGTTCGAAGGGTTATCTAGCCCTTCCCCTTAGCCCTACGCCTTCAAGCTATAGAGAATTGGGACAAAGGGTAGGGCTAGGGGGTAGAATTGGGATTGTGTCTAAACATGCTGTATGTAAATGCAGGACACGGGATGTAAATCAAAAACGTTTGTGTGTGCATTAACAATGCCTAATCCTGTGTATCCAAACTAAAAATAAATTAAAACTAAAAACTGGAAGCAAGATTAAGGGCTCTATTTTGACTGTCCATGCGCAAAACGGAAAACGCAGGGTGCAAACGCTTTCAGGGAGTGTCAGAATCCATATTTGCTAATTTAAGGACGGGAAAATTCGCTTTGCGTCGTGGCGCATGTTCTAAAAGGGTTGAGTTTATTTTCTTAATGAGTTATAGGTGTGTTTTGAGAATAAACCAATTAGAGTCTCATCTCCCATTCCCTTTAAGAGCCAGCTGCGTCACGCCAAGAGCGCATTCGCTATTTACAGGATGAAAAACTGAGCATTTCACAAGCAAACAGTTGACAGTTTTTTTTTTTTTAACAGAAAACTGTTAAACAGAGCATCTACCGCACAAAACTGAGAGATAATCGATCTGCTTTCACTTTCGCACTCGTGGATAGGGAAACCTTTACGCACAGACATCAATTAGTCTATAAATAATTAATTGCGTTTGTTAAGCTCAAATATTCATTTCAAAACTATTTCTAAATTCACTTATAATTTCCAGCAAATGAATAAATGAACAATAATAATGAAGTGTGTTCAAAAACCTGAGTTATATCCTAAAACACATGCTGCGCCCCATATGGTCTAAAACCTGCAGGTGGACAAATCTAAGCTTGTTTTTAATAAAACAGATATAAATATGGATATAATAAATAATACTGCTAATAATAATAACATTATACAAAAGCAAACTGTTATGAATGAACTGAAAAAGCCTCCCTAGATGAAGAGGGCATAAAAGCAGTGATTTTTCATATTTATGTAGGCTAGAAAATAATATGTTTTGTAATATTTTGATCTTTTATAATTATATCCTATATCTATTATTATATCCTATATATATCCTTAATATTTAAAAAATTTTTTTCATATGTAAAGATTAGACCGGGTTTGTTTTGGTGTATTGAAAAATCTATTATAGTTTCTCAAAATAGCAACGCGCCAGTGGTCCGCCTCAGAACGCCTTCCTTTTTAGAGCAGAACGCCTATGAGCGCACATTTGAGCGCTAATGCATTTGCTATTTAAACAGCGCAGCCCAACGCCTCAAAACCACTCTTGCGCCAAGCTGAAACTACCAAAAGACTATTGCGCCACGCCTTGCGCCACACTGCGCCGGGTGTATGATAGGGCCCCATGTCTGCTTTTCCCACTGACAGATTATTTAGCTTGTTTTAACACTAAAACCCAGAGTAAGAAGGTCATTGTGATGTTTGTGTGTTGGACGAATCCAGAAACATGGGACACAAAATGCGTTAAAAATGCTTTAATCGGATTTCACACAACACAGATGATTGATTGCAGATATAATATTCTACATATGTGCTTACTGATTATAAACTAAGCATATCTGAATCAACAGATATATTAAAATACATCCAAGTAAAGTCTCAGTTGAATTATTCGCCCTCCTGTGAATGCTGTCTTCTATTCTTTTTCAATTATTTCCCAGATGTTGTTGAACAGATTCAGGAATTGTTTACAGTATTTCCTCCAATATTTTTTCTTCTGGGGAAAGTCTTATTTGTTGTATTTTGGCTAGAATAAATGCAGTTCTTAGTTGTTTTAAAGTCAATATTATTAGCCTTCAGCAATATTAGTGTTGGATTGTCTCCAGAACAACCCACTGTTATACAATGACTTGCCTAATTACCCTAACTTTATCTTAATTACCCTAGTGAAGCCTTTACATGTCACTTTTAGACGAACACTAGTGTCTTGAAGAATATCTAGTCTAATATTATGTGCTGTCATCATGGCAAAGAGAAAATAAATCAGTTATTAGAGATGAGCTATTAACACTGTTATGATTAGAAATGTGTTGGGGGAAAATATGGAGGAGGGCTAATAATTCTGACCGCAACTATTGGCTGTATTTCTGAGCAAAAGCAAATCATGTTTCTATGACGTCTCTCAAGAGTGTCAAGAAACAGGACAGGAGATGGATGTGATCTTCTTATAATTAGACAGAAGCTGGCAGATCACTTTATTATGTGCATGCAGGTCATCAGTTACATGGATTTGCATTTCTGGGTATTTTGGACTTCTTTGGTATGCTTGGAAATATTTTTATTTCATAATAGCTTTTGAGCAAGGTCTCAAGCTCTTGAACAGTCTTTTCCTCCACTTTGTCGTTGTTGTTTGGTCCAAAGTAGGCCTTCCCTATGTAAACATCATTGCTGTTTAGACAGCAGGTGGCTCTCCAGAAAAACTTGGACACAGTGATTTTATTGTTAACTTTTGCTGCAGTTGTGTCAGGAGCAACACCAGCCACCACATACGCCTTTTTACAGGATGCCAGATCTTTAATTACAGCTTTCTCATGTTCCTTCCAGTCTTCCTTATTAAATTTGGATTTCTGCGGAGCGGCGTTGGTCAGGGTGGAGGTGGCCAGCATGGCCAGATGATTGTAGGTGTGCATCACTGGATAAACATGACCTTTGTCATAGCCAGAATTCTTATAATCACTACTCACTGCCTGATTATTTTTTATTTTAGAGCCCTTAGGCCGCATGCATGGCTCATTCTCTCCATCCAGCTGAAGGAAACAAGACAAAAGCAAATAAACAAGTAGAAAAATGACAGCACTAAAAAAATAAATGCACTTCATTAACAAACATTATACAACAGTCTACAGCCTCCAAATATGTATACATTGTAAGTCAAAATTATTCGCTCCCTTTTATTTTTATTTTATTTGTTTTATATTTCCTAAATGATGTTGAACAGATTCAGGAAATGTTCACAGTATGTCTGATAATATTTGTTCTTCTAGAGAAAGTCTCATTTGTTTTATTTCGGCTAGAATAAAAGCAGTTTTTAATTTTTTAAAAACCATTTCAAGGTCAACATTATTTGCCCCTTTAAGCTATATTTATTTTCTTGATAGTCTGCAGAACAAACCATCATTATACAATGATTTGCCTAATTACCCTAGCCTGCCTAGTTACCCTAATTACCCTAGTAAAGCCTTTACATGTCACTGTAAGCTGAACACTAGTGTCTTGAAGAATATCTAGTCTAATATTATTTACTGTCATCATGACAAAGAGAAAATAAATCAGTTATTAGAGATGAGTTATTAACACTGTTATGCTTAGAGATGTGTTGAAGAAATCTGCTCTCCATTAAACAGAGATTGGGGGGGTAAATAAACAGGGGGGCGAATGATTCAACTGTATATACCTATAAATATATACAATAATGTGCCTTAGTGTTTGCTGACATGATCACTAAAACTGAACTGTAAAATGAGTTTGAAAGCAAATTACAGCTAAGAGAGATGAGCTTAACAAAAACTGCAAAAAAAACAAAAAAAAAAAAAACGGAATGAGCTTAGGTTGGTTTTGATGTCATTTTCACTAAGGTTCCCACCGGGTTAGCTATGTGTATGAACACCTCAAGTTTCAATGCTATTTCATGGCAATTCATAACTGTGATTTAGTGGCTAATTCATATGAATTTGTCATCCTCCAATGAGGGTTGAGTTTAGTGGTGGGGTTAGGGGCCATGCCTCCTTTTATAAATCACAAGTTTTCATACAGCTGAACTTAAACTGTCCCGAGTACTGGGTTGCAGCTGGAATGGCATCCGCTGCGTAAAACATATGCTGGATCAGTTGGCGGTTCATTCCGCTGTGGCGACCCCACAGAAAGAGACTAAGCTGAAAAAAATGAATCAATAAACTTTCAAGAGTTCACACTTAGATATTGCTTGACGACTGTAAGCAGGTTTGGCATGCTGTCCCGGGAGAGAACCCTGAGCTCGGAGATAGTTGAGCCCAGGGCTCCCGCCAGGTCCATAGAGCATGTAAGGGGAGTACGAGATCAGGTGGTTCTCGAGAGCTCCCCTTTTTAAAGGGAGGAAAGGAGGAGATAGGGGGTGGATGGGGGGTTTCTTCGGAAAACGAAGGTAAGGGAGTAATATCTAGCTAGACTATTTATAGTAAGTTGGAATAGATCTGATTGGCTAACTAATGAGTGTAGATAGGCGGCCAGCTGCGGTCAATTATATCACGTGCTCCTCTCGAAATTAGTTTAAAAACTTCACTAAATTGACAAACCGCAGAGAGGCATGGCGACTGTAACAAGAGTTCTGGTCTCATTTGTTACTAGACGTACAAAACAGCTGTTTACGCTGCTTGCTGCTATATGGTTTAATATAATTTAATTCGATTGTATCATGAGCAGACTGGTTTGTATAGTGCAGGTAGTTTCTCCATATTTATTGCTGTTTATTATCATGTATTACCAGTAGTCGACTACCAATAGCAGAATTTGAATCTGATAAATGAATGAATGAACTACTTTCACATACATAAAGCTATTACACCTTTAATCTTGCTCTTGTAATATGGATATAAACGATACTTACCTGTGGTTCGATGTACCAAACATCACATCTCCCAGTTGATTCTTTGCCGAACCAATAGGCAGAGTAGATGGGGATCTTCCAGGTTGTGCTGTACAAAGTGGCGTAAAGAAACTTTTTGTTATCATCTTCATCCCACAGACACTGGCAGATGTGTTTGACTGAAACACCCGTCGGTGCTTTGAATACAGGAGCAGTGTCATCCAAGAAGTACTGGCTGCATTGGGTAAAGTCATTTAAAACTTCACTGAGAGTGAAAAGAGGCAAAAGGAGAAACACAAGAGTCTTCATGATGAATCTCAGACCGCAGAACCAGGAAGTGTGTTTGCTACAGAGATGAGTTTGAAGAGGGTTTAACACTGCTCTTTATATAGTAGATGAGTACAGGAATTCCGTTTGCGATTTACATAGCTGAAGTGTTATTACTGTAACTATTTGATGATGTGGCCAAACTTTATCTATGCAATTCAAATATCTGATGTTGACACAGAGTAAGCTCATCACAGAAGTCTTTCCTTGAGATGTAGCTATTTGTCTAAAGTTGCCGTTGACCAGAAATCCAACAGGTTTTGGTGGAAAGGGTACTCTTTTTAGTTATGTGTTAAACATCATTAGATACTTATTGTGTTTAAAGAAATGGTCTCTCTTTATTTTTATGGTCACCTTTTGCACATTTAGTTGATTATAAGCAGTGTTGGGGAAGCATAATGAATGAACGGCCAAATATTCCAGCACATGTTTTACACAGCGGATACCCTTCCAGCTGCAACCCAGTACTGGGAAACACCCATACACACTCACACACACACACACACACACACACACACACACACACACACACACACACACACACTCATATACTAAGGCCAATTTACTTCATCGATTCATCTATAGTGCATGTGTACTTTGGATTGTGCGGGATACCGGAGCATGCAAACTCCATGCAAACTCATGCAAACTCCACACAGAAACGCCAACTGACCGACCCGAACCAGCGACCTTTGTGCTGTGAGGCGACAGTGAGCACCGAGCAAAAGTGTTGCGCAATTACTGTATTGCATATTTCATATTTCTCTTGTCACCACAAATACATAAAAATACTACAAAATGGCATTAATGACAAAATGTATTCTTGGTAGACATCCTCCAACTCTTGCTGGCCTTGCCAGAGATCACACGTCTTCAAGTTGCTCTTCCACAATCAAGTTGCTGGAGTTTAGGATTGTGGAAGTTCTCCATTTCCAAAATAAGGTAGTGATGGAACAATACATACAATATTAATATCAGATATTTATGGTGTAAACGTACACATACAAATGTTTGGTGACTCAACGGATGGTTTTAAGTGTGATGGCTTGCACCATAAAAAATAATCGAGAAGTTCGACAGTTTAATTGAGAATCGACTCAGAATCAGATTTGATCAACAAGCCCCGTGGACGTTTATGGAGATCGCGATTTACGTGGCCGGAGGTACGTAAGGCTGCGCTTAGTATTTTTCGAGCGAATGCTGCGGGGCGGTGTGGCGCTGCTCCGCCCCTCCTCTTCGCGCTCGCCGGCCGACGGCTCGCCTGCTAGTGGAGGGCTTTCCCGATGCAACCAGTTTGTCCGCTTAGCTCAGGAGCCGGCCGCAGTGGACGACGACCGGGATCGAGTCCGGGGAACAGCAGGTTCCGGAAATCAGGTAAGACGAAAAACGGAATACGAAAAATAAGGGCGAGAACGCAGCGGGATCCGAAAACGCGGTCGGAATCGAAGACGAGGGCTTTTGCTTTTATTTTTTTTTCCTGGTCGGCTTTTGCGAACCGTCGCTCGGGTTTAGGGAAGGAGGAGAAGGAGGAGGAAGAGGAGGGCGGCCGAGTCGGCCAATCCGGCGACTTTTCGCGTGAGAACGGCGTGGGCGCGAATGAAAAAGCACGCACAGCCGCCTCTCGGAGATCCGCGAAAACAAAAACTGCTCGAATTCGTACCTCCCAGGACGTAAATCGCGGTCCGCAGAAACGTCCGCGGGGCTACGTTTCCACAATGAGCCCGGGTTGGCCAAAGCATTTGCAATTTGCTTAAATCAATAGGATGCGCCAATCTGATGTGAACAAGGAGCTAATTGTTCAGAGATCTGAACTTATTGTTTTGTAAAAGAATGAGAATTGATCAAAAACAATTGAGAAATTGAGAAAAACTGTCATCTTCATCATGATCTTTATGGTCTTCATCATCTTCATCATCATTATCATCATCTTCATTTCCAAAATCCAGAGTAAGAAGGTCATTGTGATGTTTGTGTGTTGGACGAATCCAGAAACATGGGACACAAAATGCGTTAAAAATGCTTTAATCGGATTTCACACAACACAGATGATTGATTGCAGATATAATATTCTACATCTGTGCTTACTGATTATAAACTAAGCATATCTGAATCAACAGATATATTAAAATACATTCAGGTAAAGTCAGAATTATTATCCCTTATTTTAAATATTTCCCAAATGCTGTTTAACAGATTTATGAATTTTTTCAAAGTATTTTCTATAATATTTGTTCTTCTGGAGAAAGTCTTATTTGATTTATTTTGGCTAGAATAAAAGGAGTTTTAAATTTTTTAAAACCCATTTTAAGGTCAATATTATTAGCCCCCTTCCTAGTGTTGGGTTGCAGCTGGAAGGGCATCCGCTGCGTAAAACATATGCTGGATAAGTTGGCGGTTCATTCCGCTGTGGCGACCCCAGATTAATAAAGGGATTAAGCTGAAAAGAAAATTAATGAATGATATTATTAGCCCCTTCAGCAATATTAGTTTTAGATTGTCCAAAGAACAACCCACTGTTATACAATGTCTTGCCTAATTACCCTAACTTTACCCTAATTACCCTAGTAAAGCCTTTACATGTCACTGTAAGCTGAACACTAGTGTCTTGAAGAATATCTAGTCTAATATTATGTGCTGTCATCATGACAAAGAGAAAATAAATCAGTTATTAGAGATGAGTTATTAACACTATTATGATTACAAATGGGTTGAGGAAATCTGCTCTCTGTTTAACAGAAATTGGGCAAAAAAATAAACAGGGGGGCGAATGACTCTGACTTCATCTGTATAATGGCTGTATTTCTGCACAAAAGTAAGTCATGTTTCCATGATGTCACACAAGAGTGTCAGAAAAACAGAAAATAGATGGACATGATCATCATATAATTAGACAGAAGCTGGCAGATCACTTTATTATGTGCATGCAGGTCATCAGTTACATGGATTTGCAAATTTGGGGGGAAGGATGTTCCTTGGTATGCTTGGAAATATTTTTATTTCATAATAGCTTTTGAGCATGTTCTCAAGGTATTGAACCGATACTTCCTCCACTTTGTTGTTGTTGTTTGGTCCAAAGTAGGCCTTCCCTATGTAGACACCATTGTAGTTTAGACAGCAGGTGGCTCTCCAGAAAAACTTGGACACAGTGATTTTATTGTTAACTTGAACTCTTGTGTCAGGAGCAACACCAGCCACCACATACGCCTCAGCACAGGATTCCAGGTCTTTAATTACAGCTTCCTCGTGTTGCTTCCACTGCTTCCGGTTGAAATCGGGATTCTGCGGAGCGGTGTTGGTCAGGGTGGAGGTGGCCAGCATGGCCAGATGATTGTAGGTGTGCATCACTGGATAAACATGACCTTTGTCATAGTCAGAATTCTTATAATCACTATTCACTGCCTGATTAGTACCAATATTGTGACTATAGCCCTTAGGCCGCATGCATGGCTCATCCTCTCCATCCAGCTGAAGGAAACAAGACAAAAGCAAATAAACAAGTAAGTAAAAACACACAAAAGGGGTAACACTTCATCAAACAAACATGTAATACTCTACAGATCATTAGGTTAATATACAGTTGAAGTCGGAATTCTTAGCCCTCCTTAATTGTTTATTTGGGATGGGGTGGCTTGGACTCGAAAAGTGGTTCATTCAGAATATTATCAAGCTACATCACTTTATTTTTTCCGTTTTCAGAGAGTCTTGATGACCCCATCATGGAGTTTTTCTTTCATTATTTAAGCTAATAGGATTGTAAAAACAAGCTTTGTTGTACTCTTGCATTCAGCTGCGAGGAAACCCTGAAATGTGAAAAGGGTCTATGAAACGTGGCATGGAGATGATCAGTCTGAGTTTGGCACTGCTCAGGTGTTATGAAAGCCAAGGTTGCTCTGATAGTGGCCTTCAGCTCTTCTGCGTTGTTGGGATCTTCCTCTTTACAATACCACTTAGATTTTCTATGGGATTAAGGTCAGGTGAGTTTGCTGGCCAGTTAAGAACAGGGATACCATGGTCCTTAAAGCAGGTACTGGTAGTTTTGGCACTGTGTGTTGGTGCCAAGTCCTGTTGAAAAATGAAATCTGCATCTCCATAAAGTTGGTCAGCAGCAGGAGACATGAAGTGCTCTAAAACATCCTGGTATAGAGCTTTGTTGACCTTGGAACTCAGTGGAGCAACACCAGCTGATGACATGGCACCCCAAACCATCACTGACTGTAGAAACTTTACACTGGACCTCAAGCAACACCTGTGGATTGTGTGCCTCCCCTCTCGTCCTCCAGACTCTGGGACCCTGATGTCCAAAGGAAATGCAAAATTGACTTTCATCAGAGAGCATTAGTTTGGAGCACTCAGCATCAGTCCACTCTTTAGCCCATGTGAGACTCTTCTGATGTTGTCTGTTGTTCAAGAGTGGCAGGACACAAAGAATGCGACAGCTGAAACCCACATCTTGCATACGCCTAGTGGTTCTTGAAGCACTGACTCCAGCTGCAGTCCACTCTTTTTCAAACTCCCCCACATTTTTAAATTGGTTTTGTTTCACAGTTCTCTCCAGAATGCGGATATCCTATTTGCTTGTACACTTTTTTTTATCTACCACATCTTTTTCTTCCCTTTGCCTCTCTAATAGTGTGCTTAGACACAGAGCTCTGTGAACAGCCAGCCTTTTTTTGCAATGTCCTTTAGTGCCTTGCCCTCTTTATGCAAGGACTCAATGGTGGTGTTTTAGACAACTATCAATTCAGCCCATGTCTTCCCCATGATTGTGTAGCCTTCAGAACTAGACTGAGAGACCATTTAAAGGGCTTTGAAGTTAATTAGCTTAACTGTTACGGCCCGATTACAGCTCCACCCTCTATGCTGACACTGTGGAAAAGAAACTTGAATAAAGTTGTTCTTTTTGTTTTATTTGTTTACAAAAGTATTCTCGTAGCTTGATAATATTACAACAAACCACTGAAGCAATATTGATTGTTATGAGGATGTGTTTGGTCTTTTCTGGACTTTGAGTGTCTCGGGACTCATTCAACTCTTTGATTTCATCTAAACTCTAATCTTAATTTGTGTTCTGAAGATGAATGAAGGTTTAACGTGATTGAAACAACATCAAGGAGCATAATTAATTAACATAATTATAATTTTTGGGTGAACGCAAAACTTTAACATCCAGAAAGCTGCACACCGTACGCTGGAAAAAAAAAAATTCTTACTTCGAGTTTTTGTCCAGTCCAAATATCTACAAATTCTTCAATCGATAAGCATTTTCTAGATTAGCAAAAAACATTGTGTTGTTTTCAGAAATTCTTCAGAAAGCCAAAATTAAACCAGTTTTTCCTCAAATCGAGCTTACCCCATTAGTTTGGTAAGCAAAATAATTTTGTTTTTTTCGAGGAAGGAAAAACACTTATTTTTGACTTATCATTTCTAAAACAGGGGCGACTCAGTAGGTTGTGATGTCACCTCACAGCAAGAAGGTCGCTGGTTTGAGCCTCGGCTGGGTCAGTTGGTGTTTCTGTGTGGAGTTTGCATGTTCTCCCTGCATTCGCGTGGGTTTCCTCTGGGTGCTACGGGTTCCCCCACAGTCTAAAGACATGCGGTACAGGTGAATTGGGTAGGCTTAATTGTCTGTAGTGTGTAAGGATGTTTCCCAGAGATGGGTTGCAGCTGGAAGGGCATTCGCTGAGTAAAACATATGCTGGATAAATTGCCCGTTCATTCCACTGTGGCGACCCCAGATTAATAAAGGGACTAAGCTGAAAAGAAAATTAATTTCTGAAAACAAGACAATCATTCTTGCTTGTCTTGAAATTACTTCTTGATTTAGGAATTTTTAGATATTTGGACTAGAAACCAGACAAAAATCTCCGTACCTCTAATCTTGCTCTTATAATATGGATATAAACGATACTTACCTGTGGTTCGATGTACCAAGCATCACATCTCCCAGTTGTTTCCCTGCCGTCGAATACATACGCAGAGTAGATGGGGATTTTCCAGGTTGTGCTGTACAAAGTGGCGAAAAGAAACCTTTGCTGATCATCTTCATCCCACAGACACTGGCAGATGGGTTTGACTGAAACACCCTTTGGTGCTGTGAACTTAGGAGCAGTGTTGTCCAAGAAGTACTGGCTGCATTGGGTAAAGTCATTTAAAACTTCACTGAAAGTGAAAAGAGGCAAAAGGAAAAACACAAGAGTCTTCATGATGAATCTCAGACCGCAGAACCAGGAAGTGTGTTTACTTGAGGACGAGTCTGCAGATAGTTTAACCCTGCTCTTTATATAGTGTGAGGATGAGTGCATGAACCACATGTTCTTCATTTACTTTGCTGAATTCTTCCTGGTATATATATATGATAAGGTGGCCAAACCTTTTCCCTTTAACTCAAATGATGTTGACACACAGCAAGCGCATGCGAGAATGCTTTGCTCGAGATGATTATACAGTATCATTGAGCCGAAAACCAACAGAGGAAAAAGCGTGACTCCAGGCTATGCAGACAGACATGAGTTTGAAGATGCGCTAATTTGCACCAAATAAATCTTTGCCAAACTTAATTTATTGTGATTTAGTGAAAAGCTAAAGAGTCATAGCTAAATTCAGCACAGATATGTTGAAAGCCTCCTGCTTCATCCACTATTTTTCTTTTGTGCAATACAAATCTGGTCAAGTTGTGCTTTTGTTTACAAACAGGAGCAGTAGAATGTTATAACCCAGATAGATGAGCAGAATGACATTATAATAACTATATTATCATTTAAAAGGTATGTTTTTATTTTTGGCAGAAGCTTTGATCCAAATGTTAGCTTCACTATGCTGCATCTCAGACTCACTGTTGATTTGAACCTCCGTCTACATTTCTGGGGAGCGTGAAAAATGTACTCAGAGGTACGTCTGGCTGCATTTTGTTTGTAAAAATGAACGCTATGGGAATGACAATGATGATGCCGGTGACGGCTTCTGTTCCTTTTTGCTCTACTGCTGACCGCTTTCCTCTGTATGGATGGCTTTTCCGGTGTTACCAGTTTGCGGGTACCAGTTTAAATGGAATTAAACAGCCCTAAACCATAAACTACACACACACACACACACAAACACAGAGCCAAAGTTTAATCACTGTTCTCCTCTTGTTGCATTGTGTTGAACCAGAAACAGGGATTATTTTATTTTTCTTTTAATTTTATTTGAGACATTCCAGATGATGGAAGGCTAAGAATTTCCATTGAGCGTCATTTATCCTGCAATAAAACCTCCATAAACAACAGCCTGCGAGTGGAAGGCTGATCAACAGATGTCAGTGCAGTTTTTTTCCCCTGATTTATTGCAGTGATCCTGAAGTAGGATCTTTATTATTCATTAGAATCAGCTTTTAAACAATGAGATAAGATGAAATGATGACAGCGTCCTCCAGATGGCACAGGAGAGAAGCTCAGCCTGCGATGACACGAACATGACGAGTTCATAAAGTCACAAACATGAGCCAATGATGGAGAGATGAAGCCTGAGAGAGATGAAGAACTGATTAATCATCATCATCATGATCTTCATCATCATCATCATCCTCATCAAGATCTTCATCATCATCATCATCAAGATCTTCATCATCATCATCATCATCATGATCTTCATCTTCGTCGTCATCATCATCATCATGATCATCATCATCTTCATCATCATGATCATCATCATCTTCATCATCATCATCGTGATACTGATTTTCATCATTAGGGTTGATGTTTCCAGTCATCACGTCTTCTATCCAGGCGTCGAGCTGGTCTGCGGTGGGCATGTGCTCTTCATCATCCATCTCCATCCACACACTGTCCGCCTGATGGTCACACACATAAACAAACACACACATTAGGCCACAAAATACTCACTTATAGACACGTATCAGTCTTCAAATTTCTACATTTACTTGTCTAGCAGACACTTAATGTCTTTGCCCACTGAAGTCTGATGTGTGTTCATTTAATATCGTGTCTTTATCTTCCATACTTTGCTTTTCAGAAGGGACTTTGTGTTTGCAAGACCAAGTAGATTACATTTCCAGCCTCCGTTTTGGATCTGAATGGTCAAAACACCTCTCAAAACACCTTTTTGGATAGGAAAAATTGATGGAGGAAAGTTTCAGAGGCAATATGATTATGATTGAGCTTAAATGTATTTTTTTATGTGCAAAAAGTATGGCATGGCAGTGGTTAGCACTGTCGCCTCACGGCAAGAAGGTTGCTGGTTTGAGTCCTGGCTGTATCATTTGCCGTTTCTTGCATGTTCTCCTCATGTTGGTGTGGGTTTCCTCCGGGTGCTCCGGTTTCCCCCAAACACATGCGATACAGGACTAAATTGGCTGTAGTGTGTGAATGGGTGTGTATGGGTGTTTCCCAGTACTGGGTTGCAAATGGAAGGGCCTCCGCTGTGTAAAACATATGCTGGAATAGTTCATTCCAACGTGGCGACCTCTGAAATAGAGACTAAGCTGAAGGAAAATGAATGAACGAATGAATTTTGGCTCCTTGTGGTGTGATAAACTGTGGTTGTAATGTCACTGAGAGCCACTAGGGTGTGCTAGAGGGGAGAGATAACCACATCCAGGCCACCATAGAGCGAGTGGTTAGTGTTTGGTAGAGGGAACCGCATGGTGAACTAATGCTACCAACCCACTCGGGTATCTTGAGAACATTATTGATGTGTTTCAGCTCGCATGTGCTGTATGTTCAATAGTCAGTAGTGATTTGGCCTGTGTTTATTTCTTATGTGGACAGGACTGAAGGGTGCTATAGATGGTGGTTGTGTGTTATTGGACTACACTAAGATGGCTGATGGGTTTTAATGGAACGTTATGATCATCAGCGGTCTATTCTGGAAGGTGAGGAACACCGGCGAGTGAGCTAACATCGCATTCTGAGACTGGATTGATACGGTCAGTGACTCTAAGTTTCTCCAAGATCATTGCATCACACTCAAACTATCTAAAGCAGTGCTTCTCAACCATGCTCCTGGAGGATCACCAGCTCTGCATAGTGTTCACGTCTCCTTAACTAAACACACCGGATTCAGATAAGCAGCTCATTAGCAGAGACTGAAGGACCTGTAATGTGTGTGACAGACAGAGGAGACATCCAAAACTTGCAGTGTTGGTGGTCCCTTAGGAACGTGGTTGAGAAACACTGCTCGAAAGTATATATTCACCTCACTATTGATATAATTTATATATATTGATTGTTTTTAGGCAGCACTGTGGCTCAGCGGTTAGCACTGTGGCCTCACAGCAAGAAGGTCGCTGGTTTGAGTCTCGGCTGGGTCAGCTGGTGTTTCTGTGAGGAGTTTGCATGTTCTCCCCGTGTTGGCGTGGGTTTCCTCTGGGTGTCCCCCACGGTCCAAACACAAGCGCTTTAGGGGATTTGATGAATGTTATTTTATGAAATGTTGATTAAAAATAAATTATCTGGAAAAACAAAACAAAGTTCTTCAAGTCTAAACTTTAATTTATTAAGTCTAAAATCTAAACTGAGCTGTCACGGTTTGCTCTGCTAAAACACTGGCTTTCGAGACACGACAGGAAAACACTGTTCTTACATTTTCGACGTCCACCACACCAATCTGAGGAGATGAGAGGTCAATGCCGAAGGTCTTCTCCCAGTACGGCACCATCTGAGGGTCACACAGAGTTAAAGGTCAAACTTTGGCTCACACATGTCAGTGACCTGTGCTGTAGCTTCTGTCATAATAAAACACAAAGCACTCTGCAGCATCGCATTAAAAAAACAGATAAATACACATTTATTCATGGCTGTTATCGAAAAAGAGAGGTTATAGTATCATAATTGAGCTCCTACAGTGGTCATTGTAGTCCTGCAGAGGGCAGCAGCTGAACACTGATTACCCCTGTGTTTTGATATATGTGAGAGATTTGCATGCACTTTTAACTGCTCATTTTACCAGATAACCCTATACTGTCTGATATATGTGGTTAAATGTTATTATAAAAAACATGGCATTGCAGATACTTGATTAAAATTTTTAGATACTATGTATTATTCATAAAATAAAATACTTTGGTGTTTTTGAATCATACTAGAGTAACTTGTATTATACTCTATAGTATTTAAAACTTTTTTTCTTATTTAATGCTCCAGCATACTTTAATATTAACTGTAATAATAAACCGTACAAAAATACAGTAGTATACTTTAGTTTTTACTACAGTAAACTATGGTGTATTATAGTATAACATATAGTTGTAGAAAACTGCAGTATTAAGTAATTTGGTGTTGTTATTATTATAGTTTGTTGCATTACCAGTTAATCTGTTGTGGTGATTCTACAGTTCCTATGGTAACACAACAACTATACTAACTGATCTGTTGTGATACTACAGTTGCTATGGTAACAAGAACTACAGTAACTGATCTGTTGTGGTGATTCTACAGTTGCTATGGTAACACAACTATACTAACTAATCGGTTGTGGTGATTCAACAGTTGCTATGGTAACACAACAACTATACTAACTGATCTGTTGTGATACTACAGTTGCTATGGTAACAACAATTACAGTAACTGATCTGTTGTGGTGATTCTTCAGTTGTTACAGTCGAACTATAGAATGGCTACAACAAATCAATCACTACAGTTTAATTACTAAAGGTTTTGTGTTACTATAGTAACTGTATAATTGTCACAACAGATCAGTTAGTATAGTTGTTACCATAGCAACTGTAGAATCACCACAACAGATCAGTTACTATCATTGTTACCATAGCAACTATAGAATCACCACAACAGATCATTTAATATAGTTGTTACCATAGCAACTGTTGAATTGCCACAACAGATCAATTAATATACATGTTACTATAGAAACTGTAGAATCAACATAACAGATCAGTTACCATAGTTGTTGTTACCATAGCAACTGTTGGTTTGCCACAACACATTAATTAATTTAGTTGATGTTACCATAGCAACTGTAGAATCACCATGACTGATTAAACTATAGTATGGTTAATAAAAATGCTACAGTATTTAATAAGCATTACTATAGGGTTTTTGCACAGTTATGAGTTTTTACTGTGTTTTTTATTTAAACGAGTTTTTTTTTTTTTAATCATACCAGTGGAAAGTCGTCGGGATCAATCCAGATGATGCTTAATTCTGGATTCTCTGTGTTCTCTTGAGCCACTTCCTTCAGGATCTCTAGGAATTCATAACCGTCTGAAGAGAAAACAACAACGTTCAGTCATTTTGAGCATGGAAAAGTCAGTCTGAGTGTCAAACATGGCAGTTGCTGTTCTCAGATCAGTGTTTACCAGGGTCAGACTCCTCAGCAAAGGCAACAATGTGCTGTCCGTTAATATCGTCTTCCTAAAACACACACAGTCACTGCCGTTATGATGAGGCTACAGAAATATAGCTGTGTCAGAAACAACATAAGGCTATGTTTCTGAATGACCATGTTTGTTAGGACTAAAGCCTGACGCTGGCATGAGAACTTTTTATTTAATAGATTTTAAAAGGGGAAAAAGAAAGAGAGTAATGCTTGCGGTTATAGCATGTGGACTAGCATGTTTTAGCACATGGCTAACCTATTTAATGCATTGCTATCACAATTAATATGTAGCTATCATACTTTTTAAGCATATCCCTAGCTTAATTTGATGTTGCTAGCATGTTTCCATGATGTTTTCAGACATTGCTATCAAGAATTTAATATTTATATTCACGTTACTAACATGTGTTTACGACACTGCTATTTTATCTTATTTTA